TCGTTTCCCTTATTGTCTGGTAGCCATCAAAACAAATGCAGGCGAATGAATTAACAACAGTACACAGAAAGACTTAGTGAATCGTTTATTTTCAGCGGCCAAGTTTCACGGTCATCTAACACAATATGGCATACTGCTGTAAATCACGGATAATTGGAGTTTTAGCTCACTGGTTTACAGAGATGACGTTCAACCAGTGGGTCGCGGCTTCGAACTTCACACCACCAACAGAGGTTTGGGAGCCAGGTTCTGTCCATTAGCCGTCATACAACGAGGCTCATTGCCTACTACATGAATGTGCACAACGTTGCTAAGCGTACTTCTCTTTTTTTACGTCACTGATAGTTTGATTTGGGAAAATTTAATTGTAATACATCAGCACATTGTTGAGAATGTGATACTGAGTGGGGCAGTCAATCTATTCCTATTATTACACTATCTACTCTTGAATAGTAAATCGATATACTTAGGTCCTGAACCAGCCTCATGAGTTTAAACAGTAATGCCAAAACGTTACCTGCTTTTTAATAAAATAACGACTCTTGACCCAGTTACTATCTTCATCTAAGAGTCATGATAGCCACAATGGTAGTCACAATGACCTAGTGGGTAACGTTCTTGCATCTGAAGCGCCGGTCTCGAGTTCAAGTCCTAGTAGGGACGAAATCGCTCACTGGGAGGCAGGCACATCCAGCTGATAAGGCTCAAATGGAACTAAATACCCGTCCTGGATTCCACTGCTAGCCACTATCCACCATTACTATAAAATTGAAATGATTGGTAATATTCGGGTTTCCGCGTAGGAGCCTTTATGTCAACAAAGACCGGTCGGTTAGGGATGGCACAAGCATTAACATAAAAGTGACTTTTATGTGTAGATGACGTTGAAATCATTACGGTAAGCTGTAACTTGAAACAGTTCAGGTAAAATTCATATTTTGCCTGTTCCCAAGTCTCTTTTTCAACGCTCAACGTTCTAAATGAATAAAGAATAGACTTTTAGGTAACTTCTTCAGGTCTTTTAGTAATATATGCATATTGAGTATTTTTTTTATGAATAATACTGATGTTTCGCCTAACAGTTTGTAATTAATACCATACAACTGGGGACTTCTCTCCAGAAAATTCTTGCCTGAACGTTAATGTCAGAATCAATTATTACTGGGATTCAATTCAAAGTAACTGATTGTCTAAACGGTCATACAGCTTAAGTAACAGAATAGTTTAATGTAACAATAGGAATGTGTGCATGAAAGTTGGATACATAAAAACAAGGACAGATAACTTAGGGAATAATAGCGCAATAATATGCTGCTCGTTCTAGAGATAAAACAGGCTAAGAGAAGGTGATAAAATTATCTCATATCATAGAGATAAGAGGATGTCTATTATGTAGAAGTTGTAAACTAAGCTATATAGGTTAAGAAACTAAGTAATTTACAAACATCGGACAGGGTCAAAGTAGTTGTAACTATAACACCCACTTTTTCTGAACACATAACTCCGGTTGTTTAATTCTGTTTGCCACCGCTTTTCTACTTTACAGGATTTGGAGTCGGGTGCCTACTAGTACCTGAAGTAGAAGTTGACGAAAAGAATATTCTTTGTTCACTCAAATAGCTTCTGAACTGTAATGAGGACTTTTAAGGAGTCCAGCTACTTTCTGTGTTGTCGTGAAATATTTTTCATCTTGATTATTTTCCTGTTTGCATTTCTCAAAGAATGTAAAACAGAACAAATTTGTTTTAACTGATGTTTTGGTATTTATTGTTAATAGCTTGGTCAAAGTTATTGTCTGTAACTTCAGCGAAACGTCAGTGGGTGCACACTGCTGAGGAGCCCCATACTAGGATGAAACAGCTGTCCAGTGCTCCCAGGTTTCCTTTGTTCCTCCAACTTATGTCAGTCTACGATGAGTAACAACTTGAAATATTTCCAAATCCCTACAACTCCCTCAAATTCCTCTTTGATTTACATCCATTAGGAAATACAAATACCAAAACAATAAATATCAATTACTCAAGACCACAATATCTTTTCAAACTATTTAGTCCAAACTGGATTTCGATATCTATCTATTTTTTAATACCGCTAAGCTTCATTCATCACCGTCGCTCCAAGTTTTATGTTTTCAGCTATTAAACATTTTTCTGAGATACCATTCTTAGTGACCATTTGTGTTCGACTTCGTCAAAATGCCTTACCACAAAATTGTCTGTGTTTGACCGGAATACCCATATCCTGTGGATAAGCAGCTGCGATGTGACAGCCATGGCATTTGGTACTGACTTTACACGATTTAAATATTAATTTTGCACTAAACTTACTGCCAGGTGCATGTGCAACACTTATTGCAAACCAATGCCTATCCTTATCCAGGAATTGTCTATATCTGATCTTTCAAATGCAACCAATGAAGCTTCAGACGATGGTGCAGCCATTGTCATAGGGGTTGGGTTCAGCAAAAAATCAAACACTAACCAGGTTGAAACTGAGTTGGAAGAGTTGGATATGCCTGCTTGCAAGATATAAATTCATCGTAAGAGAAACTCAAAAAGCGCCACTGGGCTCCCATAGTGGACACAACCTGCCACTTAAAACTCAGCAACTAGTCTAATAATGTCGCTTCGACGGAGTAAGGCTGAGAGGACTGTCTCCAGGAACCTTCAATTACCTTCAGTTCCACTGCTAAGACACATCCATATCTCAAAGGTTGTCAATAAGAAGCCCAGAAAACCCCACCCAACACAGAAAATCTCATAATATGTCGTCCCCATTAAGCATTATGGCCACAACCTGCACTTAGTTCTAGGCGCCATTCGGGACACCCCGACAGAAAAGTCAACTAGGGTGCATATCTGTGAGGTGGTCAGACAAGATAAAAGAGACGAAAATGAAACTGAACCAGGAAGAATCTTGGAAGTAGTCTTAAGAAATTAAGAAGAGATGGATATCGTTTTGGTTAACGAACATCAGAAGAGTGTTTCAAGTGTCTGCATTCGCTTGAACTGGCTTCTTGAGGACAGAAAAAACACGGCAGGCCACACCAAACTAAAGGTTCAAGAAAGAGATAAGGAAATAATCAACCTACAGCTCTTCCAATGGGAAGGTCGAAGAAAATAATGCTCACAAGGCCTATATCGGCAAGCAGGGTTATGCCCTAAACATCTTACTATATACTAATGCCTACAACCTGGGTAACGAAACATCAGAGCTAGGAGTTTAAGTTGGCGAAGCAAGACCTGACGTAGTTGCTGTGACCAAAAAATGGTTTGTAAAAGATGGGAATCCCAATCCTCTTCTCACTAAGCACTTCTGATTCAGGGCCGATAGAGTATTAACTACAAAGGAGGAGTTCTACTGTACATTGATGAGGAACTTAATGCACGGTCAGCATACTCAAAATCACATGAAAAGAGTGTATACGAATTTAAAAGCCAAAACGTTCCGTCAAGTGATGATGTAGTCAAAACTGGATTAATTTGCCCAAGTTCATGTTGCATAGTAAATGACTTCGTACTGAACCACATACGTGAATGCAGTAATGTTAGCAGACGTATGATAATAGGTGACCTAAACACAACACACGCTAAGTTGGTGGAACTCGTATCTTTACGTTCAGCAACTGCTTCGATAGTGAGCTACTTCTGGTCTGGAGCATTATCCATCGATCCTTAACTTATTTTCTGTACACGAAGAGAGAAGGTAGCTGGACTCCAGCGCTTATTTCTGTTATCCAATGGTGACCACTCAGTAATATGTTTAAACCTTCATTAGTACGACTCAGTTTATGATTAAGTTTGTTCTAGACAAAATGCGTAGAATGGATACGCTGGATACCAGGCAGTGTGCAAATACACTGTACCACAGTGTTGATGAGAAGTATCTGTAAATGAGGTTTGGGTAACGTTTAGAGCTATGTCTGTCTGCACAACTCTGCCACTGATGTCGTGGTCAGTGTCACGTAGGCATTCTCGTTACCTCTCTTGCCTTGATATTGAAACATTCAGGAAGTAAGAAAAACTATGGATTTCGCTTTTAGAAGCAGGTGGTGAATTATTTGGGAATGCCTGTTACAAGGTTAGGAATATGTGTAAATCAGGCAATACGAGGTCTAGAGTAAGATACAAGAGAAAACTTGTGGTTAGCTCTCAGGTGTGTCTAAAACAACTTCTCTCATGTATTCGAAGGAGAACTAAAGTTAGGGATACATTCTCATCTCTTCTCTCATCTTGAGAGGAGTTGACCGAGTCTGATCAATCCAAAGCTGAATATCTCTCCAACTACTTTGATGCAGTCTTCTCGGTAGATGGAGGTTTCACTACTCCAAAATGCTCGACCAATGGACCTGATAAACATAACAAGAGACCTAGTGTTTCCGCTACTGAGTAGCCTTAAGCCTGAAAAATCCCTTAGCCCCATTGCCTTACACCAGACTGTTATTTTTCTTGGCACAAATCATTACCGGAGTGTTTGCTAGACAATCAGGTCTGGCCTCCAGGAGACTGTAAAGATGCCATGATCATCCCAGTTTCCAAAGTAAGTAGTGACCAACTGGCACCAAATTATCGTCCTGTGAGCTTAACTGGCATAATTAAGAAAGTTATAAAGATTATAAGGGGAGAACGGCTTAGTTACCTTGAGAACCATAATCTTCTGATATGTCTACGTTATGAAATTCATGCTAGTTACTCCTGCTTAACTAACCTATTCACAGCAAGAGGGGAATGATTAGCAGCTTTTGGCAAAACAATTCCCGTAGATACTACGTTCCCTAATTTGGTAAGGCTTTCGAAAAGGTTTTACACGTTGAAACAACGAAATTTGGTAAGAGCCCCCGAAAGTGCTTCGGGCTAAAACCCGAAGTGCTGTCTGGAAAGATAACCTTGCTATCCTTATTACTGTAAACTAATTAAAGTGAGCCGGAGACGGATACGATTTTAAATCCATTGAATTCATGAGAGAATACAGAATCAGGCTACATTTAATTACTAACTTACCTTATTAGGCTCAGAGATTTTAAATAAATCCAGTCTTGTAGAATTCCACTCTTTTATGCGCTTCAGCAAATCTTTGTTCTCAGAATTATTTATTCCCATTGCTTTTTAGAATGAGAGTGACTCAAAAATCAACACTAACTATAAAATTGACATTGAGGTTGATATTTCGAAAGCCTAACGAAAAGCAGTTGTCGACTGTTTACATAGGTGGTGTGTTTAAACAAGCTTTGCACATTTATATTATGTTAAGTTATCTGGGACGAAGAGGATGAGAATAAGTTGAGAGTGGTGATCAAAGTTTACGGGTGACTGGTTTTTGCTAATGAGACTAAAGTTTTTTTGATAACTTTAAAAGTGTTCAATGTACGGAGGTCGCTACAGTTTGCTTTCTGAATGGGAAACCAAATGCCGTCTCACGCTGGTCAAGGATTGATATAGAATTTGGTTGTCGATGGACAGAAGAATGCCTTATAGTCCTGGCAGAAGATGCAAATAAAATAACCTTTTGAAAGTAGCGTCACACACTTCTGCAGAACCAATTGCTAAGGGTTTGACGAGATGCAACATTGGTGCTGACCTTGATAGTTTTCACTGGGCTCGCTAAGCTGGGGGCATCTAGTCAAGCATCATCGCCATTCGGCACGCTATCGCGTTAAGTTGCATTTTTCGTAACCAACCCTCTTACCAGTTAGCTGGAACGCATCGATATCTTGGCACGAACTCGCAAATGTGTCACTCCATCTGACTGGGCTATTGTACTCCTTCTTGGTCTCGTATCTGTGGGTATACAACAGGTTCAACTAATTAGTGGCTGACCTCCGCGTCTGTCGAGTTAGCACAAGGACAACTCCTAAATGTAAATTCAACGGATAGTTTCCATATCTGAAAGAAATATAAGAAAGGCAGGCCGAAAGTGACAGCGCGAGGAAGATGAAGCAAAATGCAAAACTAGAAGCCAGATACGTTTTCCTCAAAGCATCGGATGGTGTGTACTTCTAGTGCACAAGTACAGATAGCTCGTTCACACAGTATGTGACTACGTCAACAACGCCACAGCGTTATGCTTATCAGTCACATTTAGTCATCGCAAATAAGACTATTAAGTCCTACCTAAGGCGTGTAGGATACGTAAAATGGGGCCCTTTATAAAATGAAGGGGCCATATCCGGATATGTTGCCACGCAGGGGAGTACAGTTGCTGAGCGTTAGAAAATTAAAGAGAATGGCTAGACACGATTGGTTACCTAGCGGAAAGCACGACTGAGGTGAGCCAAAATATATACATATAGTATAAATAAGTGGAATCTCGCCTGGCTAACTGGTTCACTAGTTACTAGCCGGTCCTAAGCCCCGGTATACAGGGAAGGTTGGGCACAGGGCTAGCAACCCTACCCCGCAAAACCAATCCGACCGCTAAAGAAACTTCAAAGCACAGACAAACATAAAACATGAAAGCGAACTTATTCCGCGCTGGAATCGGAGAGACAAAATGACGCCAGTTGGTGAAAGCCTTCGGGAAGCCAATTGGCCTATGTGTCTTCTCTCGATGAAATCGAAAGTAAACGTGGGGACATGGAATGTCCGCACGATGTCTGAACCCAGTAAGGCAGCCCAGATTGCAAAGGAGATGAGAAGGTATAACATCGAAGTGCTTGGGATTCGCGAAAGCAGATGGAATGGGAGTGGACTCTCCAAACTGTCAACTGGAGAATCAATAATCTACTCCGATATTGTCACCCAGACGACAACCACGAGCACACTGAGGGAGTGGCTATCATGATGTCCTTAAGAGCATCGAAGGCTCTCATGCAGTGGGGACCAATCTCCTCCTGCAGGATCATGACAGCAAGATTCAACTCAAAAGGAAGAAAGGTCACAATCACACAATGTTATGCACCTACAAATAATGCAGAGCGAGAGAAGAAGGAGGAATTCTATAAACAACTTCAACCAACACTGGACAAGACCTCAGTTGGCGATATCAAAATTCCAATGGGCAACATGAGTGCCAAACTGGGAAAGGCAACACAGGAAGAGAACTCATCCATCATGGGTCGAGAAGCGCTAGGTGAGGTGATGAGCGAGAATGGAGAATTGTTTGCACAATTCTGTGTATTCAACGATTTGATGATTGGAGGCACTATGTTCAAGTACAAGGATATCCACAAAGCGAGCGACATGGATTTCACCAGATGGACACACTAGAAATCAGATCGACTTTATCTCAATCTCAAGAAAATGGAGACGCAGTCTACTTGACACAAGGTCAAGAAGAGGAGCAAATGTAGGTTCAGACAACTCACTATCTAGTGCAAGGAGCCTACCCTCCAAATCAAGTTGAAAGCCTTCAAGGAAGCTGGTGATAGACCACAGTTCAAGTACAACACCCACAATAGAAACTGAAGGACGAAACCACAAAGGAAATCTTCACGGCAGCCATTAAGACAAAATGGGAGATATCGAGGAACATGCCTGAAGAAACCTGTGTGGAAGAACACTGGAAGTCTTTGAAAGAGATATGAAAAGAAACCTGCATAACCACATTAGGAAGGAAGAAGAAGCGACAAGACAAGGAATGGATCTCGACGGATACCTGGAAGCTGATAGAGGAGGGAGAGGAGGATGGTGAAGCAGAAGATAAACCAGTGCAAGAATGAATAAAGAGAAGAGGAACTGAGTACAATGCATAAAACACTGGACAAAGAAGTGAAGAAGGGTGCACGCAAAGACAAAAGACACTTCTAAGAAACATTGGCAAGCGAATCAGAACAAGCTGCAGGTAGGAGAGATCTGACAACATTGTGTCAAATAACCAGGTTACTCACTGTCCGGGAAGAGATCAACACACATGAAACCAATAAAAGATGATGAAAGAAATTTAATTACGAAAGAGGAGAAACAAAGGAAACAATGGGCTGACCACTTCAAAGAGCTCTTGAATCCACCACCTGCACTTCGTCCAGAAATACAACCTGCAGCCCAGCCACAGAACTACAAGTGAACACAAGCCATCCGACGAAAGTCGAAGTCTTGAGCTCCATAAAGCTACTGAAGTGAAGGAAAGCAGCAGGACCAGATGGAATCCTGCCAGAAGCACTGAAAACAGACGCAGAGACAACAGCGGACATGCTGACACCACCACTGCAGAAGGCCTGGAAGGAAGGAGAGGTATCTGGCGATTGGAAGTATGGCTACCTTGTCAAACTCCGGAAGAAGGCAGACCTCAGTGTTTGCAAGAACTGGAGTGGAATCACTCTCCTGTCCACCTAATGCAAGCAAAACATTAAGCCGTATCATTCTGGAGAGGCTAGAGCATGCGCCAGATTCAAAACTACGACCGGAACAGGCAGGCTGGACTCAGGAAGTACAAATCATGTGCGGGCCGAATTGCAACGCTACGCTTCATCATAGAACACAGTATAGAATGGCAGTCAACTCTACTCTACCTCAACTTCATCGACTCTGAGAAGGCCTTCGACAGCGTCGACCGAGAGGTGATTTGGAAACTGCTTCAGTACTAGGGATTACCGCAAACCTCTATCAGCCTCATTCGACAACTATATGAAGATGCCAAATGCCACCCAAGTAATTCACAATGGGAAGATCACTGATGCTCTTGAAGTGAAGACAGGAGTAGGAGTGAAACAAGGCAGTCCACTATCACCCATGATATTCCTGATATTCCAGAGGTGATGAAGGCACCGCACCACCACCAACAACAACAAACTCCAGTCACCATCAACGGGATAAACTTAAAGGATGTAACCTCCTTCACTTATCTAGGAAGCACTGTTTCAACTACAGGCGGCACAGACCACGGCGTCAAAGCCAGGCAGGATCGGAAAATCAAGACAAGCGTTGATTAACCTGAAACCAGTGTGGAGATCTTCTGCACTCAGCATGTGGAACAAGATCCGTATTTTCAACACCAACGTCAAGTCAGTGCTTCTGTATGGTTCAGAGACTTGGCGCGTTACAAAAGGGATTTCCAATAAACAACTGTAGACGTTCATCAACAACTGCTTACGCTGGCTCGCTACTGTAGGTCAGATGGGTTGCCAGAAAGAATAAGCAACAAGGAACTCTGGCCAAGTAACGAACCAACCAAGAACCTATCACCCAACAAATATGCAGTGGAAGGAAGTGGAGATGGATTGGGCATACACTGAGAAGGCCGACTGTGGACATCACGCGTCAGGCCAGTTGCTCGGGTGGAATCCCTATGGGAAGCGACGAGTTGGGCGTTCGATGTGAGGGTGACATGGAGGAGATCGTGAGAGGAGGAAATGAGAGCTTCTGGGCTATCGTGGAGCCAGGTTCAAAAGATTTCGGAGAACAGAGTTCACTTGAGATGTGCTACTGAAGCCCTATGTTCCATTAGGAATCCAAAGAAATAATAATAATAAATAAATGATAAATACGTGGAGCACTAGTTGGAAGGCTAGCAAAGAGGGATGAAACTAGCGACACCTTGTGATTAGTGAGGTTCTTCAGGCAGTTGATGCTTCTGAAATTTAGTAGTCCGACAATCTCAGCGGAAGACGGTTGCTTAAGGTTGTGATAACGTGTTAGGATGCTATTTTCAAGGGAAAGAAAGACCTTGAGTTGTCCTTTGGAGTGTTTCACTGTGCAGCTTAGTCTGGTAATATGAGGCAGACAATCCCAGAGTCAATCGAAGCGAATAACAGAAGATTTGACCCTAAGTGATGGGGGGCATTTAAGTATGTCCTCGCCACGCAAGTAACAGGTAGATGAGGCCATGAAATTCAACCGTGTTATGGTGATGTGGGCTTCATCATGAAGTGCACAACATAAGAGAACGAAGTTAAGAGCCAACCTCTTCCTGCCAAAAGAGTGTTTGGAAAGCTGTTTGTATCTGCCGACGTATCTCAGCTCAGGAATATTAATGACCAGTTATCCGGCAAGGAGTCTCCGAATGCTCACTACTTTTAGATTATCTCACGCTCGTCAGCTACCTAAAATGGAAGGGCAGTATCCGAATAGGAGTCGGGCACAGGTTTTGTGAAGCATTAGTCTAGTGCTAACACGGATGAAATTTCTATTAACGAACCCAAATAGTTTACGAGCTTCAGAGACCTGGTAGGAAGCGGGCTCTGCAAATGTGCAAAACTTCTGCCATAAGAGGAATTCATTATCTTTTTATATTAGTGGCACTGGATTTCATGATGTCCTGCCGAATGGC